CAGGACCACACCCCTAAATGCATTGAAGCAACTGCCATGTGATTGGTTGATTAGATAATTGCATTAATGAGAAATTGAACAGGTTCCTAATAATCCTTTAGGTGAGTGTACATAAGAGCAAGCATTGCAACAGAACACCTATGTTTATTATCTTTGAAAACGAATTTCAACAATACCTCCAAACTATTTCTTATTGTAATAATTCCAAAGCTATAAAGACCATCAATATCTGCACTAAATTTAATTTATTGTAATTTAAGCCCCTACATCATTATTTTGTTTTATTATTTACTTATTTATTTTCTTTCTTTGTTGTTTCCTTTTACTTCTTAAAGTTATTATTATTGTTGTTATTATTGTGTGCTGATCTACTCTGCTGTATCATATGTTTGAAGTTCATAATAAAGCATTAAAAAAAATAATAATAATAATCTTGTCCGACTTCAACATCATAAAAGAGGCGTGTTTCCGACGGGAAGTGACGTTTTTCGTGACGTTTTCATCCAAGTTCCGACTTGGAGAGAAATAATCGAACGCACCATAACCGTAATGCATTACGTCAGGATCAGATTCAGAATGCGTTACTTTAAGCCAGCGCTGTAAGCAAGTCGAACGCACCCAATGATCGGACTGGGGAAACAAACTGAAACGCGGACTTATGCTGCATTCCATTTGCCTCGGGATCCGATTTTTGAAATCCAAGATTACATCACATCCGCTAAAAACTCGGGAAAACCGAGTCGGATGCGTTCCATTTGCCACAGAAGTAGCAATACCATGGATCCATATGAAAAAGCAAGATTTTTTGCTTAGCCGGACAACTTGTCAGATTTAAGGTACCTCAGTTTAAATGGCCTTTATCTTCGTCCACTTACAATTAGCCCGAACTACGTTAATCCGACAAATAATCCGACTAATCATGAAATCCAATTCAATCCCGGTTCATTGGTAGCCATTGTCAGCAATATCACTTGATAACACATTACGCGCGGTGCTTGACGTATAAAACTCCATAGCAACACGTCCACAGATAATTTGGATGGTATAGTGTGTGCGACCGATTTAATGAGCCACAAATGAGAAGTAGTGCTTAAACAGGATAAAACTACAACTTTCCCTTCTGTTGATAAAGGACGCAGCCATCTTGGATTCTGAACTCGGGATCTATGGCCTTCTATGGCCTTATCCGAGATATTTCTCGGATCTCCGAGAAACAGGAGCACGCATGTCTTCACTTCCGGCTTCAAAACTCGGAATCCGACTCGGAATCTGAGTTCCAAGGGCAAATGGAATGCAGCATTAATACAGAGGACTAATGACAACAACCAGAAACAGCTGATCATATAGGGATCCCACACGAGATTAATGAGGGGGCGTAGCACACGGAAGGAGCGGACGATCAGGGCAGGACAGGGGTAATGTTGGG